AACTTTCTATGAACTTCTATGAACTACTTTCTATGAACTTTCTGAAGACATCTGTGCTGGCAAAATTCTGCCTCTGTCTCTGTATATGCCGTTCTGGATCCAGCCTTGTTGCGGCAGTGATATAGCAAGACTTACTTTTAGGCAGTGTACCAAATACTCCAGTTTCTGTCAGTGGTACCTCAGGTTAAGAACTTAATTCATTCTGGAGGTCCGTTCTTAACCTGAAACTGTTCTTAACCTGAGGTACCACTTTAGCTAATGGGGCCTCCCGCTGCCACCGCTGGGCAATTTCTGTTCTCATCCTGAAGCAAAGTTCTTAACCCAAGGTACTATTTCTGGGTTAGCGGAGTCTGTAACCTGAAGCGTCTGTAACCTGAAGCATCTGTAACCTGAGGTATCACTGTACTTGAAAGCTATGCCATTGGCATTCTGGAAAAAACACATCAAGGGTTCCTACTGCTGCAGGTATGTTTTCTTTCGAAGAGCCATCAAAATTCATGCATGACTAAATGGCTCACCAAACAAAACAGAAGAAGAATTGATTATAGTTTGGGGGTTGCATTTGCTCTTGGCCAACCTTCCAAGGGCCCCGTGCCAGTGGTGGGTGTGGTCACCTCACACCTTCTCATGCACGAACAGAGGACATACCCACCAGCAGACACATTCAGCACAGACCCCCTCTTCCCATTCTCAGCTGTGGATCAGCTGAGCAGGGGGATTATTGCCCTCTCTCCAGTCATCAAATGATCAACTGATGGCCAGAGATGCATCCTTATCTTCCTTTAAAAAAAGTCTTTGAGTTGCACACACATCCCCACCCGCCACACCATTGGCCATGCCCAGATATTATGAAAACTGTAGTCTATAAAGTGATGACTGATTTTATCCAATCCTTGTCTCCATGTGTCTCTTCCTCTCTTCCTCTGCCCTACTCTAGTCACCACTGTGGGCACAAATTCTCCATCATCTTACATTTCATTCACCACTGAAAACCTCAGTTCATCACACCCTCGTTCATTTCATTCCCCCTAAGCACAAATAACATTTTAAATAAAGCCAGAAATGACTAGATGAAACATCTTAATTTCCTTGCATGGAAAGACATTAGCATTCTCCCCTTATCAGTTCTATTCATCAGCCTAAGTAGAAATGGTTAGAAGAGCTGTACCATACCACTCCTTCGAGATCTCATAGTATCTTCTTCTTTTTTTAATTTCACAAATAGCCAAGCTATAAGTTGGTAATTGCAAAGTAGCCATTATCTAGGTAGTCACTGAGTGATTATCAGATTACTTCAGGCTTCTAAGATAAAAGGATATAACAACTTAATTATGAGCTATGGAATAGCACTATGGACTAAATTATGTCTCTGACTACTGCTGAGGAATGGAATAAAGAAAGATCGCATTTCATGCCCTAGTATTTTAACCAGGGGTGGGATGAAGCCAGAAGGGGACCAAATGCAAGTTTAATATTTATGTAACATCTTTCCACAGTGGAAATGTTACATTATATTAATTAATTAATTGATTAATTAAATTTATATCCTGCCCTTCCTCTCAAAGGAGCCCAGGATGCAAAAAAAGAGGGGGGAATTGTCTCTTAGGGACAATTCCAATACAAAGCTGGCCAGATTCTGTATATATGACCCCCCACTTTGATCTGCAGATGGTGGCCCAGAAATGTATTTTTGTCCAGCAGAAACCCTTCATTAGTGTTCAAGCTTGACCATAAAGTTTGTGCTGTCTTTCAATGAGAACTTCTCATTTAAGGAGCACATTTTGCTCAAATATTATCAGGGCATCACATATGAAATCCAGGAGGAGGAATGTAAGTAACAACATGTAGTGAAAGCCTGTGTGTCGTTGCCGCGCATCTGCTGGCCCTGCATTGTCTCTCTTGCCAGCCAGCCCCATACTACCCAAGTCTGCAAAAGTTTTAATTGGCATGCTTCACACTTAAGTTTCCGGAACACAATTTATGACAAGCCAATACATTTTGACCAGAGTATTACCAATTTCAAATATGCTAGTCAGTTTCTCAATGATCTAGAGATAAGCAAGAAATCATAAAGTTTGATAAAAGTTAAGATGTCTGTGTTTGTGTGCCTCCTTGGTATCTTAGGCTTCAGCACATTTAACTTCCAAATACCTCAGCAACTTTTTCGACTCAAGGCCTAAAGCCTCAGATGCTGCTTCTGCTCACTCTACTGAAGAGGATCCTTGTATTCTCTTTAAATTATGCCAAAGAACAAGTAATAATGCAACTCATATTTTGAATAATTATAGCCTAATCTATGTGAAAGATGCATGCAATTAGTCTGTATCCTCAATGTGTCTACAGTGTTATTAAATTACAATGCATGACCAGAAAACTGGCAGGACATGAACAAATTTGCCGAATTATACACCTATTAGTTATATACCCAAATTTATAATGAAATGCAGGTTCCAACCTATGCATTTGACTTGCCCTTTAAATGCTGTATTTAGGCAAACATCTTCGTAACTTCATGATATAAAGAAGTGTAAGAAGATTTCGTTTTACAGTAGTACCTCAGGTTAAGTACTTAATTCGTTCCGGAGGTCCTTAACCTGAAACTGTTCTTAACCTGAAGCACCACTTTAGCTAATGGGGCCTCCTGCTGCTGCCGCGCCGACAGAACACAATTTCTGTTCTCATCCTGAAGCAAAGATCTTAACCTGAGGTACTATTTCTGGGTTAGCGGAGTCTGTAACCTGAAGCGTATGTAACCTGAAGCATATGTAACCCGAGGTACCACTGTATAAGAACAAGCTTTAGATAAAGGGGACCGTGCAGCTGTCCAAGTAGTCAGTTTCTTCCTGATTGTACATATTAAGCTGGAATAATTTTAAAAGCCCTTGCAATCCTCCTTCAAGAATCCCCCTCCCCCCGAGAATGGTTCCACAGATACAGGTAGCAACTACTTTCATTAGATTTTGAATAAAATAATGTAGAAGGTGTAAGAAATACAAAACAAAAAACTACCAGAGAGATACAGATTTCTACCAGCTCAAAAAGAAAATAAGAGGAGATAAAGGATATTTTCTAACTTAGTTATTTGGACAGTGAACTGGGGCATGCGTCTCAACTTCAGATCAGAGGAAACTGCTTTTGAGGTGGACCTAGACTAGGGATGGGGAATTTGTGGACTTCTAGGTGTCGTCCAACCATTTCGGGACGACAGAGGACGAGATGGTTGGACGGTGTTCTCGAAGCTACAAACATGAGTCTGGCCAAACTGCAGGAGGCAGTGGAAGACAGGAGGGCCTGGCGTGCTCTGGTCCATGGGGTCACAAAGAGGCGGACACGACTAAACGACTAAACAACAACAGGTGTTGTTGGACTCCATTTTTGTGAATCCCAGCCAGCTTGGTCAATGAACAGAGACATTAGAAACTGTAACCTAACAACATCAGTGGTGGAGGGTGACTCCCTGTCTGTGGCTTAGACAGACAGAATCCATCTACCTAGACAGTTGATTAGCTGCTCCTTGCTGTCTATCACAAAAAACCTTAAAGAATAAGACACGATAGTCCGTGAAACAAATTCTACTGCATGAGGGCTGGTTTGCTGTACATGCAATCAACTGAAAGCTGATGTGACAAATTGCATATGTTCACCTTTTGACTGGTAGTCGCCTGCTACATTTGTTCTTCTATAGCCAGTTTCTAGCCTTTCAAAGTTCTCCAAGCAGCTTCATGATATATTAATATTTACACAAGCCATAAGGGAAAATGGGCCAAACGATTGCACAGTTAATTCTGAATATTCAAGGGGACTTTGGGTCTTCTACCTCCAGACAGCAGGTCCTTGTGCACCATGCCACAAACTGAGGTGATCTTTCAAATGCAGATTATAACACAACACAGCTTTCTCCTATTCAAAGGAGGAGAAGAAATTTGCACTAGACATGCCCAAGTTAAAGGACAAGCTAAGCCTACCATGGCCAACCTTCTGTTTTAGAATTCTCAGTATGTTAATTAGCTACTAAAGCTGAAAACAACAACTCCTCAAAGAAATATTTATAGCCTGGGGGTCTTGTACAGAGTGGGCCCTACCATTAGGCTGAAGGAGGCAGCTGCCTTAGGCAGCTAGTTTTAGGTGACATGAAAGGGCAGCAAACTGATGGTTATTTAACTTATTACTGTACTGCATTTGTACTGCTGGGAAGGGAGAAAGGTGCTTGTGGGATTTTGTGCCTCAGGTGCCAAAATAACTTGACCAGCCTTGGGAACTGTGCACCCTGACATGGGAGGAAAGAGCTGTCTGCTGCTCTGCCTCAGGCAGCAAAATGTCTTGAGGTGGCTCGCTTGTCCGCATGGACCTAATTGTGAGATTAAAGGCTGTCCTTGATGGATACAGTTATCTTTCAGTGCACAGTAACTTCCAACTTCTTTTGCAAATGGATTTTTTTAATTAGGGGAAGAAAAGCTTAAAACTCTCCCTCAACATCTCATAACAGCAACGAGCACAAATCTCCTTCTAAACCAGTTTAAGGTCTTGCACTTGCAGAGCTGCTCTTACTGCTCTAATTAACATGGCTCCCTCTTTTGAAAGGAGGATTATTATTAATGCCAGTAGGCGGTCATAGTTTTACAGCTTATGGTGAAATACCAGAGAGGACGAGGTTTCTGAACCTTTCTGAATCTTCAGTAACTGCACAGAAGAGGGGCTGTTGACAGGTCTGGTATTTCTCTCCCCCAAAACACTGAGGCAGGACAAGTGCATCATCCGAAATTATCTCTTCCCAACAATTTACAAGCACAGGAACCCTGCTCTCTAGTCAACACTTTTGTCTCCTTCCCAACTTCCAGTTCTGTTCAAACCACTGCATCCACAGGCCTGCTGTGCAGGGTGAAGAACACAAGAAGCTGCCCAATACTGTGTCAGACCACTGGTCCATCTAGGTCAGTATTGTCAACACGGATTGGCAGTGGCTCTCCAGGGTTTCAAAGAAGAGTCTCTCCTACCCTACATGGAGAAACTGATGATTGAACTCAGGACATTCTGCATGCAAGGCAGGTACTCTACCAGTGAGGTACAGCTGTTGGGGTAGAAAGTAGGTGGCATGAAGATTGCTGCACCAGCCTAGAAGTGGTGCACCAGGCTCATATCAGGCCTGGTGGCATCTTGTCACATCAGTGAAACTGGTTTGGGATCCAGGTCATTTTTGTCCCTCCCACTCAACATCCCCATAATGGCCTGTTCCAAGTTCTTCGCCTTCCAGTGAGAATCTTCCAGTGAGAAGCTGTACTGATGGCATGTCCCTTGGGCCATTCTGTTGGCAGTGACTGGAGGGAGGCAGGATTAGCTAGCACAGCTGTGTAGGGGGACACCTCTGCCCAATCCAACCCCCCACCTCAAACAACAGGGCTTGGATTGCTCTGATAGTCACAGAACTCTGTGTTCCATGTTCTGCATGGTTATAAACTTTCTTTCACACACAGCAAGCATGCTGTGCTTTGCCTTTACAGCTTTCACTGTTTTTTTCCCCCTATGGCTAGCCAAAATACATACCTGCTGTGGCTCTTCTGTGGCTATCCATTTAGGGGCAAGGGGACTTTTTTGTATGTGTGCCCATATCCAAATAGTAGTGTCGGTTGTCTGCTTATATCAATTTACTTTAACTTAGGTGGTTCTATGCTGTGTTTTTTATTTTTTTAAAAACTTCAGCTTGCTGAAAGGAAACAAACCTTTGAATCAAGTTGAGCAATTTAGAAGTGCATATACAACCTTAGCTTTAAAAGCAAGTCTCCATTTGGGCTGCATTATTCCGAAGGAATTGTCCAGGAACTTCTATGGAGGAGCTGTTAAAATGTTCTGCATTCCAAAACAGGCTCTAGATAGGCAATGCTATTCCACTGGTGTGCAGAGACTAATTGCAACAGTATTTTTCGTCTTGTTGATCATGCGCTCCCAGGCACAGCAGTTAGCTGGTCTGAATTTATAATCGGAGTGGTTTCAGCAGCTTTTAATTTTCCTGCTGTTTCCTGCCCTCAGCTGCTGTGCTTTTAGTTCAGTCTCTGCTCTGAGTATCCCTACAGTGCATTCTAAAGTTAAAGGATCTACCCTGCCTCATCCACATTTTCCAGGCTGCTCTTTGGAGACATTGAAAAGGAACCGTGAGGGGACCCCCATTTTGTGTGCCATTTCCAGGCCTAACTTCATGTTGTGCTTTGGTGGTTCTGCCTCTGGAACATATTTTGAAGTATGTGTTATGAGAAGTGATGCTAATCAGGAAGGGTGGTTGCCATGGTGACCGTGACATGAGTATTTATGGATCCTGTTTTTGAACCCTGCCCACTAGCTACTATTCTACCACACAAGACTTTGGGGACAGAAAAAGTGACGCGAACAGCGACTTCAACCAATTATTATATGATTATATTACATCCTTATTTACAGGTTATCTTGTAGGACACAGCCCTCACAAGAAGGCTTACATAATCAATCAGTATTTCCCCATCAGCTATTCCTTACTCAGGACAGGAAAGTTCCTCAAATGCCTACATTTTGGCAATTGTTTCCCCCCCCCAAAAAAAGCTACCATCCAACATGTTTGCACTAGACTTGAACAGAACTGAATAAATCCTCAAAACTCCATGTATAAAAATCGGATCCCTCGGTGGCTGGGATTTTTTTCCCTGGCACAGCTCTTTCTGGAGGTAATTAAGCATTCTTTGTTACTGGCAGGGTAATTCCCTTAAAACTGGTAACATGCAAGTTCTTTCAGTCACAAAACTGCTCTACCCTGCACCACAGCTTTTATCACTGCCACTGCTCTCAGTAGTTTTGGTGCTTCATCATATGAATGCCCCTGACAGAAGTCGCGGCAAAAAGAAAAAAAGTGAATACGGAATGAATATGAGGCCTTTACTAGAGAAATTATATCTTGCCTTACAGCTTTTGCTGTGAAGTCACAACTGGGTATACTAAACATACTACAGAACAACCCTGCACTTTACAAGTAGGTCCTCTGGTAATGGAATGCTGGACATAAACATTAAAGGCCTATAGAAAGCTCATAAATAAGATATTATAGTGTGCATTGCTTTTATGACTTTCATTGGAAACTTACTTTCAGCATTAAAATAAGAAGAGGCGGGGAAGAGGAGGATGAGACAGGCAGCAGTGCTTGATCTAAAGGCCACTAATCCTGCTGAGGTCCTTTCCACTTACTTCAAGAGCTGTAAATTCCCCCTTCCACGTTTCATGCCATGCATGAGATATGGAGCAAATTAGTGCAGAACCCTTGTTAACTCTGGTGGCTCATTTAGCAACTGTGAAAGCAAAGTCACCAGATGACACGGGTGGTGCATCACATATATTGTCACCACCGGTTATTAGGCAGCATAAAAAACCCTTCAATAGTTTCCATTTTACAGGCCCTGCACTTAGCACAAAACACTTATTTTTCTTACCATAATTTTCCTTTTTGTACCAAATGTGCTCCCCTGTTGCATTTGAACTAATGGGTATCAGATCTCTCCCCTTCCCTCCATCTGTCCAAACCCAAGCACGCAAGTTCAGTTGCCACAACAGAGATTAAAAATATATATTTAATGTCAGGATACTCATATCCCTCCTCTATAGAAAGCAACTAAGCAGTAGGATAACCAAACTGTAAACATGAGGAAGGAAAGAAAAGTTTACGAATCCCAATAACAGTCACATGCTACAATAAGCTACCATTGACAAACATTCCCAGCATCTCCGCTCTGAAGTCAAGTATGTCATGTTCTTGGGCTTCTTCCCTTGATAATCTCTGCCATCTGTGTGCTTGTTATAACTAAAATGAATTCTTCTAGTAAGCTTTTCAGGACATTCCATCACATTAACTCCCATGTCTCAACCTCTCCTTGTGTGTTGCTATGATCAGGTACTGGCAACTTCACACAGGGGGGTGCTGAATTGGGTTATCCCAAAGAAAGCTTGGTTTTAAAAATGTTAAACAGAGGGAAGAACTGTTTTGACATATAGGAATCTGTTGTTGTTGACGACCAGCCCTTCACTATGAGGTCCCAGGGTGGGTTACAACATTAAAACACAGTATCAAAAACAGTGTAAAACAACTTACAGTCACAAAAACAACGTGGGTATTAAAAATTTCCACGCCAAGTATCAAAAGCCAGGGTAAAGAGGCGCCTCTTCAGCATTTGCCAGAAGCTGTGCAATGAAATGCCTATTTCTTGTAAGGAAGAATGTTTCAGAACAGGAAGGGGGAATTGGTGGCCCTCCAGATGTTGTTGGAAAAGAACCCTCATCAGTTCTGACTACCTGTGATGCTGGCTGGGGCTGATGGAAGCTGCATCCCAACAGCACCTGGAGGGCCAGAGGGTCCCCATCCTATTTTAGATCTCAAATTTTACTGACAGGAAGAATGTACAAATTCAATACATAATAATAATAATGCTGAAGACAGCGTGAGACTTTGCTCTGCCCACCAAAATCAAGAAACATATTTCAATGGTAAGCAAAAGACTTGGTTTCAGAAATTAGGCCCCTAGTTTCCCCTGTTGTTGTTGTTTTTTAAATATTTACTTAAACTTCCAGCCTATCCTGTTTCAAATGCTTCTGATGTCAAACCATTACGTGAAAATGGTGTTCTATCCCTGGAGCAACTACAAAATCATTTTAGCATCTGTGAATGATCTCCTTCACCACAACCCACAGTACAAAAACTCAAACTAGGGAGGGAAATCACAAAAAGAAGAAACCACCAGCATGCAGCAGAATGCATAATATACAGGAGAAATGAGCTACTTTGCATACAGGCAAAAAACAAGGAGCACAAGGAAAAAACTATAAATCTAATTTATGCTCTCTGTAATGCCTCTTCTTAACACTAGTGTGCTGTAATGAGGCCAAAGCATAACTGAGGGCAGTATAAAACCTATTGAACTCCATTAGGTATTTAACAGATATTTGCATTCCAAACAAGCTCTCTTAATTACAAATTAAATTCTAAATGCAATACCTCTAATAACATGGAGTTGCTAAGTTGTAATAGCTTACATATTGAAATGACCCCTTGAGGGTAAATTCTGAGACAGCCAGATTGCAAGTGACAGGCATAAGCCATTGATCTTGTAAACAATGAAAGCTACCATTCAACCAACCCTCAAATTATCTGAGGCAGAGCTGTTTTAAATCCTGTACTAGTATTTTCTCTTGTGTGGGGCTAGCCTGCCCACTGGGCAAATGTAATTTCCACCCCTTCCAGCACCAGAACTACAAGGAATGCCAAGCAGAACATTTTGGCGAATTGGCACTAACATTCCCAGCGGGAACATAGGAAGTGCCTTATTATCCTGGTTCCCACCCAGATCATGAGGAGAGAGGCTCTTACTTGAGAGTAAGGAAGAGATCTTCATTGAGACAAATAAGATATACAAGCTCAGCAAAATTTAGTGATCACAATAGCAGCTACGCTCAGGTTAGCTTCCAGGAAATGAAAGGTTAGCCAGGCTAGAAGCAGCAGGTCAAGTTCAAGGAGTCAAAAATCAGGGAAAGGAGGCCAGAACTGCACAGGAAAAATGGAGTTGTCCCAATGGGGTGCAATGCCCACCTGCCAAGCTTTTAAAGGTGGGCCAAGGGTGCCCACTTGCAAGGCTCTTGTTCCCAGGTCTCAGCCCCCCTCCGGTCATTCTCCTGGTTTTCCTTCTTGTCCATCTTAGTCTGCCATTCCCGAGCCTGGTGATGCCTCAAGACTCATGACAGGACATTGGTCTATCAATCTCAGTATTGTCTACACTGACTGGGAGGTGCAAACCAGGGTGTTAAACAGGAGATATTCTTCACCCATCCCTGGAGATGCCAGGGACTTTTTGCAGGCAAAGCAAAACAGAATGACAGCCCTTCTCTTGTAAGGAGCAGCCTCCATATGTGCTGCTGCCATCTATCTCTGAGCATATTCTTTATTGTCTTACCTCCCCCAATTCAACTTGATCGTTTGCTTTTTGGAAAAGGGAAATATTACAATGAATGAATGAATGACATTTGTATTCCATTCCATTCCATAAAGTTACCTCTGTGCTAAGGTATG